TCCTGTTCTTTTCCACAGGAACTTGGAGTCCCTCAGGGCTGTGTCTTGAGTGTCACATTTTTAGTGTTAAAATTAATGCCAACAGTTGCAAATGGGCCTTATGTCGACGACTTCCACATCTCGTGTCACTCGTCGAACATGAGGTTTATTGAGCGGCAGCTTCAGACTGCTCTCAATCGGTTGTTGACATGGACCACTGCAAACGGTTTTAAATTTTCTTTTTCTAAAACTGTTTGCATGCATTTTTGCCGCCAACGGGGTCTCCACCCCGATCCTGAGCTCCATCTCAGTGATGTAGTTATTCATATGGTCCCTGAGGCAAAGTTCTTGGGGCTTATCTTTAACCGTAAGCTTAGCTTCATTCTGCACATCAAGCAGCTACGTGTCAAGTGTGCAAGTGCTCTGAACATCCTCCGTGTCCTCTCTTCCAGCTCTTGGGAAGCGGATCAATGTTCTATGCTCAGGATCTATCATGCCCTGATTCAATTCAAACTGGACTATTTATCTATGGTTCTGCCAGGACTTCGGCCTTGAAAATGCTGGACCCCATTCACCATCTGGGGCTTCGGCTCTGCACCGTGACTTTTCGCACTACTCCAGTCCAGAGTTTGTACACTGAGTCCCACAAACCTCCTCTTCACTTTCGTCGTTTGCAACTTTCTTTACAATATGCTACTAAGCTTCAATCCTTACCACAGCATCCCACCTGGGATTGTATCTTTCTTCCTTGATGGGCAATGCTCTTTCAGAACAGATGGTCTACTATTTCTCCCTTTGGCCTTTGTATCCGGGCACAACTGGCTGAATTGGGTCTCGCATTGGATAACATTGCTGTCCCCAATGATCAGCCATTCCACCATCCCTTCCTGTGACTTTTCCTTGAGTCATCTGAGGAAAGCGGATACTCCCGATTGGAAGTACTGTCTTCCTTTTTACTGAACATCTTTTGAGCCATTCTTCTCTTCCTATTTACTCAGATGGTTCGAAATTGGGTGACTCTGTAGGTTCTGCTATGGTGTACTGTGACTCGGTAGTTGCTCGCAGGATCCCTTTTACAGTTTCTGTGTTCACTGTTGAGTTGTATGCTATTTCTCTTGCCCTGGATCATGTAGAAATTATGCAGTACAGTAATTGTACTATTTACACTGATTCTCTTAACTCACTACTGGCCCTGGAATCGCTTAACGTTAGTTCTCACCCTGTTCTCGTCAATATTCAACAACGACTGGCCCAATTTTCTCTATCTTCTGTTTCCATCCAGTTTTTTTGGATACCTGGCCATGTCAGTATTCACGGGAACGAGATCCCTGACACTGCAGCTAAGTCCATCTGCTCTGGTGCCGTCACGGCCATGATTGTCCCATACATGGACTACGGTCCTGTCTTCACGGTGTGGTTTCGTGCCAGTTGGAAGTCGACTTGGGGTGAGCAACATTATAACAAGCTATGTGTTCGAAGTTTGATGATAAACAAAATTACGACACTTATGATATACAACATTGTTTATTGGCGAAAAAGGCATGGATAAATGTTTCTGAATTCTATCAGATTCTATCTTCAGTATCTAAAGCAGAATAAAATGTATTTACATAAGTCTTAATTTGACAATGTATAAGACT